TTTTCTTGCCACGATAAACGAACAGAAAAGCAATCACTGATTGAGAAAAAGAGCAACACTAATTCTATGTGTTCCGGTGATAAATTATCAAAAACATTTTCCAAACATTTACATGATTTTCCATTTTAGAACTCTTCTTACAGGATAGTGGCAAACGGTAAAGACAAATTCTTCGAATCATTATAAAATGCATTCGATCACACTAAAAATCATTTGTTCTTATGATTAGGAAGAAAATTTTAAATGAACAGAAACAAAACAGCAAAAAAAGATGGGAAAGAAATTCATCTAAAAATAATCAATGCATTTCGAAGGAATCTCTTACATAATTGTTTTGGTGATTATGACAAACCACAGACAAAGAGTGAAGTGGAAATAATGAAGGGAAAGTTTGTAAAATGATGACCAATATTCGCTCGTAAAGCCGATCGATTATCGCAAACGAACGACGATAACTGCTCTATCGAAGATCGAAGAAATCGCAAACTCGTGCCTAACGATAACAATCACAACATAACAATCATAACGAAGTGATAAGAATAATAATAATAATAATAACACCAGCAGCAATGACAACAAACAAACAAAACAGCTATAATTACACCACTCAAAAAGTTGACCCACTGCAACGAAGCATGCTCACTCAATCCACTGCGAATCACTCAATTAAATTCATCTTCTCACTTCATTGTCATCATTTCACCATACATATCATATCATACACATTCTTCAAAATACGAATTACTTAAACATAAACGCAAAATCGCTGCAGTAACGAAGAACGAACGTTCATATCATATTAGAAAAATAACTGGAAAGTCACCCAAAATGGGATGGATAATTTAGAGTAGTGGATAACAGTTGAATAAGAAAAAGATGAAAATATCTGATGAATTGAATTGAATCGACAGACAAGAATTTTGGAACAAATCAGAAGATTAAGAGTAAGATTGATGATTGTGATGACTGATGATGTTGATAATGAAAGCAAATAATTTACTGTCCATTCGCATGAACACGAGTCCATTCCTGTGCGGTGCGAATCGCATCACTTTCGTTATTCTTCCACTGTTCAGCCACATCCGTTGCCAGTGGATCGTCTGGATTCGGTGCTGACAGAAGTGCTTGAATCGACAGAAGCACCGTGCGAATCTGCAGAGCTGGAGACCACTTATCTGAACAAAATAACGACAATTCGACGGCTATAAACGTTCTGATAGACATCAATGTATTGCACTCGAGACGATGGCAAACCAATGAGACTGACTTTATTGACAAATTCATTCTTCAGCTTTGTGAATTTCAGAAATAATTTCTACAAGATGGCAGAACGCAACTGACAAAATACCGTTCGCACATTATCACTGTCAGTAGAATCTTCTGAGGAGATCGCTCAGTTACAATACTTCAATACTACATATTCGAGTTATTGCCAGGCTCGAAGATTAGGTCTCCACCATAAGCGGAAGACAACTTTTCATTGAGTTCGATCACGATAGCAAACGTTCGCCAGTCTCATCGTCAGTGAGCAAAAACATAACGGATAACAAAAGACATTTGTGGCTTGTGATAAAAA